CTTGTGAAATAATTTCCATCAACACGCGTTGCATACCATCTCAGAGAAAAATCTGATTCAGATTTCAGGGGTTATTAAAGTGCCTGTGATGTCAAATTTTTTGTAACACATATGAATGCATTTTTAGAAAGAGGACATGGATAAAATGTTGCAAAAGAAATTTCATGTCGCTGAGATGAACAGTTGTTGAGATATTTGCCTGTGAGGTAACAGGAAGTGATGTCAAAGAGGAATGTCTGCATGTGAACAGAGCGTTGCTACAACAGCTGATAACAGACTGTAGAGTATAATCTGATGCTTCTTTAGATTATTTTGAGTCACTATAGAGAGATGAAGAAGAGTCAGAGTTCAAATATTATTGTTTCAATAAACAAAGACCAGAGAGTTTTGTTTGTTACAGAGTTCCCCTTTGATGTCACTTCCTGTTTCACTTTGACTGAGTTGTTCAAAAGAAAATATGCCAGTTATGGGACAAAATGGGTAAAATTGTGTGTATTATTACAACTTTCTTAACTATAAAGATGTTTTCTTTGACTTTTTGTATTTGAGGAATATGCATGTCACAGGCACTTTAAAACAAACATTAATGCTAACTATTCAGGCTCCATGATATACTAATAAAATCCAGAAGCCTTGGTGTGTTTTCATGCCGCGCTATAGTTCCCAACTCTTCCTGCACGAGTTTGATGCCTCTTCCTGTTTCAGGACGATAAGAAGCGGTACACAGGACCCAGTCCAAGTGAGCTGCTGGATCCACTGTTCAGGCGCAGCAGCTGCTCCTACAGGGTGAGGCCTGAAACTAAAACTGCGTTCAGCTGCAATGCACGCATCATTAGCAGACCGTGACTGAACTGATGGATGAAGTCTCACAAAGAAAATAATAATAACATTTGATTTTGCAGATTGAGTCCTATTGGACGTATGAAGTGTGCCACGGGAAGCACGTGAGGCAGTTTCATGAAGAGAAGGAGACTGGTCAGGTGGGCCGAGCGATGAAAAGCCAGAGGTCATAAAGGAAAACCACAAGTGTGAACTGATTTAATTGTGCYTGTTTCTGCAGAAAATTAATGTTCAGGAGTATTTCCTGGGAAATATGGCACAGGGGAGGCAGTCAGCAGATACTGGTGAGTTTTTTTGTTTTTTTTTGACATTTTTCATACATGCAGTTTGAATTTTAAAGCAGGATTATTTATTTATTTATTTATTTATTTATTTATTTATTTATTTATTTATTTATTTATTTTTAGATCAAGCTGACG